TATATATATGTGATAAAAAATATGTATAACACCCAATTGATTATATAAAAAACGATAATAAATAATACTAAAAATTATGCAAATCATAAATAATTATCACTCCACTTTGTCCACTAGAGCCGATAATTAGAATTACATGCTCTAAATACTTATTTAGGCTGAAAAGTAATCGTCCCAATCTATGTAGATGTATGGAAAGTCTAAAGATGTGATAGACTGTAATGTTGCTTTCCTTCCACTAGATGGCCTCCCAGTTTCTTCCAAGTATGACGGATGAGTGGATAGATATAGGTATCTTCCCTCGTGTGATTTTGGGTCTGTCTCCTCTTCCTCCCCTTTGCTCCTCCGAATTAGGCCATGAAAAAGAAGAGAAATCCCCACATGGTGCTTATATCCTTTTAAAAGGTTTTAATGTGTCTCCTGACAATTGCACACTCACATTGCCAAAATCAATACAGAGCGTTTTTTTTTTAAAATTTGTGCCCGCGCACAAGGACAGTACTCGCCGTTCCTACGATGTTGGCGTCGTGACGTCAGAGCCCCTCCCCTACGCGTTACGCCACAGGGTCACGTGGCTTCCTCAGGGGGATGTAATACGACGCCATGACGCTGTCGCCCTTATATAGGCAATTTCAGCGCCATTTTCCCAAAGTCCGCACGGAGGCGGCCATCACTATGGGGCCAAATACTTGTTGTTAGTCCTGCGATATATAAATATCCAGGACATATTACTTATATTGATATATTGACAATTAACACCCTTTTACTCTGACTTGATGTCACTAGTGCTGTAATCGGGCCGGGCACCATCAAATACAATGACCATATAAACAAATACTTTAATCGAGCATATAGCATATACATAATCATGGCACTAGTAGTGCCTCCATTTAAATTTAAAAAAAATTTTTAAAAAAAAAATTTTTATTTAATAATGTTAAAAATAATGTAACTGTGAGAAGGAACTAATTAACTGGATTATAGGGGAAAATTAATAATGTGTATATTTATGTGTAAATGTTTTCATTAAAAAATGACAATAGAAATAAAAATAAAATAAGAAAAATAAAAATAAAAATAAATATAAAATAAATAAAAATAAAAATAAAAAATAAAAATAAAATAAAATAAAATAAAAAAAAAAATTATAAAAAATTAAAATAAATATAATATATAAAAATAAAAAAAATTGTGAATCTAAATGAAAATAAATAAAAAAAAATAAAAATAAAATAAAATAATAAAATAAAAATAAAAAATAAAAAATAAAAATAAAAAATGAAAATAAAAATAAAAATAAAATAAAATAAAAATAAATATAAATAAAAAAAAAAATAAAAATAAAAAAAAATATAAAAATAAATATAAAAAAAAAATGCAAATAAGAATAAAAATAAATATGAATGAAACTAAAATAAATTGAAATAATAAAATAAAATAATATATATAATATAATAATGTTAAACTAAACTAGAAATAAAAATAAATAAAAAAAAAAAACCAATAAAAAAGAGGATAAGTATGATGTAATCCCCTTACTATTAGATCATACAGTCCTATCACGATACATATGTGGATGTAATGCTATGCTCCACATATGAGAAACATGAGATGTCAAGAATTATATTTATATTTCAGGTTAATTTAAAAAACCATTAACATCAATTGCACCACTCTTAGCTAAAGTTACTGTTACAATAACGTTGTAATTGTGTGTACATGCCCATCCACATAGGAAAATCAATATGTGCGTGGACGTAAACACCCAATCGTATTGGTATACTATTGATATAATATATCTATATATCTTAATCTCCTAAAGTGATGTACTCTACATTAGTAATTACTGATGAAACAGGATAAGTCAAATTCCTTATTGAGGCCTTTTGGATCCAAACAATCCATTTCATATATCCATTTAGACTCCTTCTTACTAATCTCTCTAATTATATTGTCCCCTCTCCAATGTTTAATGTGCCTTTCAATTCCCCAGAATTGTAAATGGGAGGCATCTGAGTTGTGGAATATGCGGAAATGTTGTGATACGTGATGGTACTTGTAACCTCTGTTTATGTTGTATACATGTTCTTTAATCCTTTCTTTCAAAGCCCTTTTGGTTCTACCTATATATATAAGGTTACAAGGACATCTTAGAGCATAAATGACTCCTCTCGTATCGCACGAAATGAATTGTTTGATCTTATATTCTTTGTTGTTATTGGTGTTACTAAATGTGTATCTTCGCCTGGGGTTATTGCGAACCCTACTACAGCTGTAGCAACGTCCACATGTGTAGAAACCTACACCCTGAAATATACTGATGGTCTTAGAATGGGGAGGTTCCAAAATATTTTTTACTAATCTGTCTCTCAGATTTGGTGCTTTCTTGTATATATATTTTGGTTTATCGGGTATTGTGTCCTTTAGATGTTTGTCTAGCTTTAGAACTTTCCAGTGTTTGGAGATGATTTTTTTGTACCGCTTTATATATTGTTTATTATAACCCAAGACTACTGGTACCTCAATATTTTTTGCGCTTATCTTGGGTTTGTTCTTTATCATCATGTCTCTATCCATGTGACCTACTATATTTCTTTCAGTTTCTATTTTGTCTGGTGCATATCCTTTATCTATAAATCTTTGTTTTAGTACTTCACTTTGTACTCTATAGTCAATTTCTTTGGTACAATTTCTTTTAAGCCTTATAAATTGACCCTTAGGCATATTGTTAATCCAGGGACGATAATGACAGCTTGTGGTTGGTATATAAGAATTGCGGTCTGTTTGTTTAAAGGAGTTTTTTGTATATATCATGTTTCCTTCTTTTACCATTTGTATGTCCAAAAAATTAACAGCCACTTCGTCTATGTTCCAACTTAGGGTTATGTTATTTTCATTTTTGTTGAGGTTCTCATAAAAATCCTCTAGATCTTCCTTTTTGCCATCCCATATTAGAACAATATCGTCAATGTACCTACTATATATTTGTATTTCTTTTTTTATGTTCCTATATATGTATTCCTCCTCCCATTTTGCCATGTATAAATTGGCAATGCTAGGGGCGTACTTAGCGCCATAGCAACTCCTCTTATTTGCAAGAAATATTCATCATCATACCAGAAGTAGTTATGGCATAAACAAAATTTGAGACATTTAATGAGGAACCTTCTATGCCTATTAGAGGTTGCAGAGTCATCTTTCAATGCCCTTTTCAGCCTAAATAAGTATTTAGAGCATGTAATTCTAATTATCGGCTCTAGTGGACAAAGTGGAGTGATAATTATTTATGATTTGCATAATTTTTAGTATTATTTATTATCGTTTTTTATATAATCAATTGGGTGTTATACATATTTTTTATCACATATATATATATATATATTTTTTTTAGTGTTTAGGCAATATTTGCTATTTTTGCACATGCAACATTTTTTGCACTCGTTTATTATTAATCAAAGAGGTTTTTCTTTATTTATTTTGATTTGTGGTATAATAGATAATATTTTTTCGAATATTATACACATTACTTTTTAAGTATTTGCATATCAATTACAGCACTGGGCACGGTTTTCACTTTATTCACATCATATTATTATGAAATTATATTTATTTTATTTATTTATTTAATTTATTTCAAATACACATTATAATATATATTATGTAATAATATTTTGAGGAGCGCAACACATATATTATTTTATTTTCAGTCCAGATATAGTGCCCCATCTATTTTTTATTATTGGGGGGAATAGTGCCCCATTTTGCTGTCAGCTGGCAGACTAGAATAATTCCTCCTAGAATCACTAGGAGGAATTGTGCCCCAAGGGCCAGATAAAGGCAAGCAAAGGACAGCATCTGGCCCCTAGGCCGCACTTTGGAGACCACTGACCTAGAGGAAAGGTACCTAGAGGTAGCTGAAACACAGTAGAGGACAGAACTCTGGGTGTCTAATTTCTGTTCAGTAAAAGATGCTGATAATTATAGATGTCCCTTGGTTTCAGGTAGTGTGGAGGACTGTTGGCTCCAGATATCTGAAGAAGAAGAAGCTAAGGGCCACTTCCTATAGGGGAGAAGACACTTGGAACCTGATAACACTGTAGAGCAGGGGTGTCCAACACAGACAGTTTAGTATGCAGCCCGGGGCCCAGTTAGAGGTATGCTGGGGATGCATGCAAGCACAGCAACCAAAGAAGCCAACACAGAAAAAATCATCTGTGGGGATGAAGTGCAAACACAGCATCCCTACATTGATAAACTAGGCAATTTCAGCAGGGCATGCAGGGGTGCCAGGTAAGTAATTGCTGCATGGTCAGATCTAGGGAGTGCTGGAGTGGGCTGCGCCACCCACAGATTTCAATTTCACCCCCCCCCCCCCCCGTTAGCACATACATAGGCTATATCCACGCCAGCGATTAGGGTAGGTGCCAATTGTCAGTGGGTAGGTGGGGCCGCCGGCCCCATTCACTATAATGACAGTTTGACGACACCTATTTGTGGCTTTCTACACAGCCAGCAATTACCTGTGGTGATCACAGCTGGACGTAGTTTGCGCCCAGCCATGATCACGGAGAGGTGTTCGCTGGCTGTGTAGAGGGCCATGAATATCTGTGGCCGCTGGTGACCTGTCATTATAGTCAACGGCCCAGCAGCCACACCTACCCACTGAGAGCTGCAGGAGGAACTGCTGTCCTAATTGTTAGTGTATTTTATGCACAGCCCAAGACAATTTCCCTTTCTCCAATGTGGCCCAGGAAGGTCAAAAGGTTGGATCAGATTCTTGACAGGAGATGCTAAGATGTCTTTTTAGATGCCAATACCCGAGGAGAGGACCCTTGGTACCAGGTAGTAAAATAATAGGGGAGGGTTGAGTGTATGTGCATGTGGGGGTGATGGGTGATGGTAATGTGGGAATGCTTTGTTCACAGGACAGTTACAAAGCTACAAGATTTGATCCACAAAGTAATGGATACATCTTCGAGGTATTAGATGGTGACACTCACATGCTTCCATTTCCATGTCCCGCTCCTCCACAACTGCTGCTCACATTGCCAGCCCGGCGAAGGTTCAGCATCAACAGTGGTTCCAGGCAATGGGCAAACTCTGCTCCATAATCTGTATTGATCTGCAGACCATATGGAATTATTTACTGTAATTAACAAAAAAATCCCAAGAACAAGTACAGAAACATGGAAAGGATACAAAGTAGGGTTGCAGCGATACTGTTTTTTGACCGGTGAGTATGAGTATGGCTGATTGTCAATCAGTCAGTGTGCCAATCGGGAGAGGGAGGGGGCGGGGCCGAGGCACGGCTCTGTGTGTGAATGGACATGCGCAGAGCCGCAACTCAGGAGCACACCTGCTGGGGTGCCCCATAGCAACCTGCTTTCTGTAGGGGTACCTGACAGGAGGCAGGGGCCGAAGAAGAACAGACAATAAACAGGACTTTAGTATCACTTTAAGTATCGGAGTAGTCATGCAAATGCTTGGTATCAACACTGATATTTGTATCTGTGCAACCCTAATCGCTGATCGCTGCTTTAGGTGTTTACCTTGCTGCTCTGTGATGGTCTCAAGCGATATGGGAGTTTCACAATTTTCTGCAGCCTTTCCATTAGTTGCTGAAAGAAGAACGAAAATCATGAAATAATTCAACCGACCTAGACTTTTCTTTCATCAACTGACAGACGGAACACGGAATTCTGTAACAAAGAAAAAAAAAAATATTTTCAGACTAAAATTGAAAACAATGTCATGCATTCTGCCGCCACCCAAGGGCCGCCAGCTGAGGCAAGGCTGGCACTTTGTAGCCCGATAGGGGGCCTCCTCTGAATATGAACAGAGTAACACGCAGTAGGTCATTTAATAACTACTTACATAACCCAAATCCAGGAACTCCGCCTTGTTCGCCGAGCTCAGGAAAGCTGAACATGTGACCAGATGGACCTAAGAGAGGAGAGGATGATGGCAATACAATGTACTAAGAAAGTGTCATCTAAACACAGTAAGCGGTTGAGTTGTAACGGATGTAGGTGTCTCCATGGCAGAGATTTCCTTTCACTTCCTGTCCCAAAGACACTCTTGTCACCCTGATACAGTATTCATTTTTCATTTCTGTGTCTTGCCAGGAGCCTAAATATTCCCTCCACATCCTTATCTGAAGCCACCTACCAACCGCAGGAGTAGAGCGCCGTGCACATGTACCAGTGATGTCACTGGCTGCTTCACATATAAATATCTCCTGAACGGTGCATGGCAGGGCAGAGGACAGGGGTCGCCACTGGTAGGGCCCAGGATACGGGTGGCCACTGGTAGGGCACAGGACAGGGGTCGGCACTGGTAGAGCAGAGGACAGGGGTCGGCACTGGCAGGGCAGAGGACAGGGGTCGCCACTGGTAGGGCCCAGGATACGGGTGGCCACTGGTAGGGCACAGGACAGGGGTCGCCACTGGTAGGGCCCAGGATAGGGGTGGCCACTGGTAGGGCACAGGACAGGGGTCGGCACTGGTAGGGCAGAGGACAGGGGTCGGCACTGGCAGGGCAGAGGACAGGGGTCGCCACTGGTAGGGCCCAGGATACGGGTGGCCACTGGTAGGGCACAGGATACGGGTGGCCACTGGTAGGGCCCAGGATACGGGTGGCCACTGGTAGGGCACAGGACAGGGCTCGGCACTGGCAGGGCAGAGGACAGGGGTCGCCACTGGCAGGGCAGAGGACAGGGGTCGCCACTGGCAGGGCAAATGACCGGGGTCACGGCTGGCACGGCAGAGGACAGGGGTCGCCGCTAGCAGGGCAGAGGACGGGTCACCGCTGGCAGGGCAAAGGACAGGGGTCACTGCTGGTAGGGCAGAGGACAGGGGTCACTGCTGGCAGGGCAGAGGACAGGGGTCACTGCTGGCAGGGCACAGGACATCGGTGGCAGGGCAGAGGTCACTGCTGGCAGGGCAGAGGACAGGGGTCACTGCTGGCAGGGCAGAGGACAGGGGTCACTGCTGGCAGGGCACAGGACATCGGTGGCAGGGCAGAGGTCACTGCTGGCAGGGCAGAGGACAGGGGTCACTGCTGGCAGGGCAGAGGACAGGGGTCACTGCTGGCAGGGCACAGGACATCGGTGGCAGGGCAGAGGTCACCGCTGGCAGGGCAAAGGACAGGGGTTGGCGCTGGCAGGGCAAAGGACAGGGGTCACTGCTGGTAGGGCAGAGGACAAAGGTCACCGCTGGCAGGGCAAAAGACAGGGGTCGGCGCTGGCAGGGCAGAGGACATGGGTCAACGCTGGCAGGAGAGAGGACAAGGGTCACCACTGGCAGGGCAGAGGACAGGGGTCACCACTGGCAAGGCAGAGGACAGGGGTCACTGCTGCAGGGAAGAGGACAGGGGTCAACGCTGGCAGGAGAGAAGACAGGGGTCACCACTGGCAGGAGAGAGGATAGGGGTCACCACTGGCAGGAGAGAGGACAGGGGTCACCACTGGCAGGGCAGAGGACAGGGGTCACTGCTGCAGGGCAGAATACAAGGACACAGCTCCTTCTTCCATCCCTGTACTGCACACAGCCTGGGCACAGGCAGAAGAGCTCCTCCTCCCCACACAACCGATAAATGAGATCAGTATAGTGTCAGGCTAGGGCAGCATAGTTGCAAACTAGAGCAGTAAAGTATCTGATTACGGCAGTATAGTGACAGGTTAGGGTGGTATAGTGGCGGATTAGGGCAGTATAGTGATAGGTTAGGGTAGTATAGTGGTAGGTTAGGGTAGTATAGTGGCAGGTTAGGGCAGTATAGTGACAGGTTAGGGTAGTATAGTGGCGGGTTAGGGTAGTATAGTGGCAGGTTAGGGTAGTATAGTGGCAGGTTAGGGTAGTATAGTGACAGGTTAGGGCAGTATAGTGATAGGTTAGGGTAGTATAGTGGCAGGTTAGGGTAGTATAGTGGCGGGTTAGGGTAGTATAGTGACAGGTTAGGGTAGTATAGTGACAGGTTAGGGTAGTATAGTGACAGGTTAGGGTAGTATAGTGACAGGTTAGGGTAGTATAGTGACAGGTTAGGGCAGTATAGTGATAGGTTAGGGTAGTATAGTGGCAGGTTAGGGTAGTATAGTGGCGGGTTAGGGTAGTATAGTGACAGGTTAGGGCAGTATAGTGGCGGGTTAGGGCAGTATAGTGACAGGTTAGGGTAGTATAGTGACAGGTTAGGGTAGTATAGTGACAGGTTAGGGTAGTATAGTGACAGGTTAGGGTAGTATAGTGACAGGTTAGGGTAGTATAGTGGCAGGTTAGGGTGGTATAGTGGCAGGTTAGGGTAGGTTATATTGTATATTTGTGTTTGGTAAATAATAATAAATCTTCATCTTTAACCCCTCACCCTCCAGAGGATTTCCCCCCTTCCTGACCAGGCCAATTTTACAATATGGTGCTGCGTTACTTTAACTGACAATTGCGCGGTCATGCAACCCAAATGAAATTTACAATTTTTCTTCACAAATAGAGCTTTCTTTCAGCGGTATTTGATTGTCTTTGCGGTTTTTATTTTTTGCGCTATAAACAAAAGACTGACAATTTTGAAAAAAAACATGTTCAGTAAAAAAATGTTAAAAATCAAATTCGTCATAAATGTAGTCCAAATGTATTCCGCTCCGTGTCTTCGCTAAAACAAAATCCCGATACGTGTAAATTAATTGGTTTACGTGAAGGTTAAAGCGTTTACAAATGGCAGTATATACAGTTGCAAGAAAAAGTATGTGAACCCCTTGGGATTACGTGGAGTTTTGCATGAATTGGGCATAAAATGTGCTCTGAACGTCATCTAAGTCACAACAATAGAAGAACACTGTCTGCTGAACATAATGCTACACAAACATTAGATGTTGCCATGGTTTAATTGCACATAACATGTAAACATTCACAGTGCAGGGAGGAAAAAGTATGTGAACCTTTGGACTTAATAACTGGTTGACCCTCCTTTGGCAGCAATAACCTCAACCAAACGTTTCCTGTAGTTGCAGATCAGACCTGCACAACGATCTGGAGTAATTTTGGACCACTCCTCTTCACAAAACTGTTTCAGTGTAGCAATATTCTTGGGATGTCTGGTGTGAATCGCTCTCTTAAGGTCATGCCACAGCATTTCAATGGGGTTGAGGTCAGGACTCTGACTGGGCCACTCCAGAAGGCGTATTCTGTGCTGTTGCAGCCATTGTTTTGTTGAATTACTTGTATGCTTTGGGTCATTGTCCTGTTGCATCACCCATCCTCTGCAGAGCTTCAGTTGGCGGACAGATGGTCGTACGTTTTCCTGCAAAATGTCTTGATAAACTCTGGAATTCATTTTCCCATCAATGACAACAATCCGTCCAGGCCCTGAGGCAGCAAAGCAGCCCCAAACCATGATGCTCCCTCCGCCATGTTTCACAGTGGGGATGAGGTTTTGATGTTGGTGTGCTGGGCCTTTTTTTCTCCACACATAGTGTTGTGTGTTCTTCCCAAACAACTCAATCTTGGTTTCATCTGTCCACAGTATATTCTGCCAGTAGTGCTGTGGGAACATCCAGGTGCTCTTTTGCAAACTTCAAACGTGCTGCTGCAATCTTCTTTTTGGACGGCAATGGCTTCCTCCGTGGTGTCCTCCCATGTACTCCATTCTTGTTTAATGTTTTCCTTATTGTAGATGTGTCAACAAAAATGTTAGCATGTGCCAGAGATTTCTGTAGGTCTTTAGCGGACACTCTGGGATTCTTCTTTACCTCATGCAGCATTCTGCGCTGTGCTCTTGCAGTCATTTTTACAGGACGACCACGCCTAGGGAGAGTAGCAACAGTGCTAAACTTTCTCCATTTGTAGACAGTCTGTCTTACCGTGGACACATGAACATCAAGGCTCAAGGAGATACTTTTGTAACCCTTTCCAGCTTCTTGCAAGTCAACAATTCTTGATCGTAGGTCTTCTGAGAGCTCTTTTCTGCGAGGCATGGTTCACATCAGACAGTGCTCCTTGAAACCAGTAAACCCAAAACAGGTGTGTGTTTTTTAAGGGCAGGACAGCTGTCAGCAACACATCCAATATCATCACACTGATTGGAGTCAAGGTTGGCTCACTCCTGGCTCCAATTAGCTCTGGGAGAAGTCATTAAGCTAGGGCCTCACATACTTTTTCCTCTCTGCACTGTGAATGTTTACATGTTATGTGCAATTAAACCATGGCAACATCTAATGTTTGTGTAGTATTATGTTCAGCAGACTGTGTTCTTCTATTGTTGTGACTTAGATGACGTTCAGAGCACATTTTATGCCCAATTCATGCAAAACTCCACGTATTCCCAAGGGGTTCACATACTTTTTCTTGCAACTGTATACTGGGATTTTTTTTTATTTACTAGTAATAGCAGCGATCAGCGACTTATAGCGAGCATTCTGACACTGGGGGGGAACTGACTTGGTGTCACTGACATCCCCAGTGACACCAATACAGTGATCAGTGCTAACAGAAAGCACTGACACTGTACCAATGGCCCTGGGTAGGAAGGGGTTATCACCTGGGGCGATCAAAGGGTTAACTGTGTGCTGGGAGTGTTTACTGTCTGCCGTGTGTGCGCTTTACACTGTAAGCACACTGCTTTGTATGGCTCTGCTATGCAGCTATAGCTGTGTCAAATCTAGGGGAGTAGGCAGCCATAGGCAGGAGCGTGCGCACGCCCAAAAGCCAGAAATAGACAGCAACATACAGGTACGCCGCTGTGCCCGTAGCAGCAGTCCTGCTATGCAGAGCCATGCAAAGCAGTGTGCAGGAGCTGAAGGGGGGGGGGGAATCTGTATTGTTTACATACAGGTCTCTCCTCTGTTGGTAATCCTTGGAGATCACCCGGTGCCGGCTGGGACCCGGTGATGGACAACCAAGACCGTGAACAGCAACGCGGGTAGGGGGCGGAACTGCAAATCACGTATATAGATGTGATTTTACGCACCCGTGACACCCTGTAGCAGTATTTCTGCTATAGGCTGGCAGGGAACTAGTTAAATAAATCAATATAGAAATCCATGTGTGTTCATGGCTGTGTTGTAGCCCAAAACCCCAAAAAGCATTAGATATTCTGTGTTGCTGTTTGTGAACCAATACTATTATTATGGGTTTTGAACTCCTGGACTGGTGAACGTCCTTTCTGCAAAGGTTGTGCGGAGCTGGGTAGGCCCCACAGTGAAGGTCTTTGTAGGAGGGATTGATTCGCGTTTTCACCACTCTCTGACCATCCTCCTATAATGGTTGCCAGGGGAGGGGGGGGGGGGGGCACATGATGTGACCCCAATGCTTTGCTTCTTGACCACTGAAACAAAAATGAAACCACAGGTCACTTTTGGCGGGCAGTACCAGAACCAAACCTGACCCAACCAATGCACCTGCATGTAATGCATGTGTTGTCAGCGTGGGGCTTCCACAATCCCATTGATTGGGGGTTGCTGAGTGTATGGAGCATGTTTTGCTGAATCGCTCCTGCAGCCGGTATCTGTATCACAGCCTTCCAGCCAGAGAGCTCGGCATGAACAGAAACTAAAGCCAGGGAAGGATAGAGAATTATTATGGAAATGATTCTTTTTAGAAAAAGACTCCAGCTGTGTTCCATGGCAGGTCATCTTTATTCTGTATCGCCGTAAAGCCAAGAGTACTGCTTGAACCTGACAGACAGTCCAGGAGATTCGTGCAATGATGTATTACCTGCAAATAAATAGAAATCCATAATAATCAATCCATCCTCACCTGCAGGGTGGGTAACAGAGACGCCAGGTGGGAGAGCTGCTCTTTAAATGCCTTCTCCTTTTCTTCATGTTGACTTGAAACCAAAAGCAGAAATAAATCAGTCAGAATAAATATACTGTAAAATATACAATGACAACACTGACATACAATGACAATACCGACATACAATGACAATACATACAATGACTATACCGACATACAATGACAATACCGACATACAATGACAATACCGACATACAATGACAATACCGACATACAATGACAACACTGACATACAATGACAACACCGACATACAATGACAATACCGACATACAATGACAATACCGACATACAATGACAATACCGACATACAATGACAACACCGACATACAATGACAATACCGACATACAATGACAATACCGACATACAATGACAACACTGACATACAATGACAATACCGACATACAATGACAATACCGACATACAATGACAATACAGACATACAATGACAATACGGACATACAATGACTATACCGACATACAATGACAATACCGACATACAATGACAATACCGACATACAATGACAACACCGACATACAATACACATACATACAATGACTATACCGACATACAATGACAATACCGACATACAATGACAATACCGACATACAATGACAACACCGACATACAATGACAATACCGACATACAATGACAACACCGACATACAATGACAATACCGACATACAATGACAACACCGACATACAATGACAATACATACAATGACTATACCGACATACAATGACAATACTGACATACAATGACAACACCGACATACAATGACAATACCGATATACAATGACAATACCGACATACAATGACTATACCGACATACGACAATACCGACATACAATGACAATACCGATATACAATGACAATACCGACATACAATGACTATACCGACATACGACAATACCGACATACAATGAAATACCGACATACAATGACAATACCGATATACAATGACAATACCGATATACAATGACAATACTGACATACAATGACAACACCGACATACAATGACAACACCGACATACAATGACAATACCGATATACAATGACAATATACCGACATACAATGACAATACCGATATACAATGACAATACTGACATACAATGACAACACCGACATACAATGACAACACCGACATACAATGACAATACCGATATACAATGACAATACCGACATACAATGACAACACCGACATACAATGACAATACCGATATACAATGACAATACCGACATACAATGACAATACTGACATACAATGACTATACTGACATACAATGACAATACCGACATACAATGACAATACCGATATACAATGACAATACCGACATATATGACAACACCGACATACAATGACAATACCGATATGTAGAATCTAACATACCAACATTCGATGTCAGATTGTCTCCTTACTCCTCAGCCGTGATGTCCTCCAACATTTGTATATGACGCAGGTAACTACTAACATGTTGCAGCCCTGTCTATATTTATTGGGTAGCTCTCTAGGACCTGCTTTGGTTCCTGACAGATTTTTACGCACAGCCATCTCTAGGGAAATCCGGACTCATCAGACCCGGCAACGTTTTTCCAATCTTCTATTGTCCCATTTTGGGTTAGCCTGTGTGAATTGTATCCTGTATTCTTGTTCTTAGCTGACAGGAGTGGCACCCTTTGTGGTCTTCTGCTGCTGTAGCCCATCTGCTTCAAGGTTGGACGTGTTGTGCGTTCAGAGATTGTATTCTGCATAGCTTGGTTGTAACGAGGGGTTATTGGAGTTACTGTTGCCTTTCTATCATCTCCGACCAGTCTGCCCATTCTCTTCTGACATCAACAAGGCATGGTCCTCCACACAACTGCCGCTCACTGGATATTTTCTCTTTTTCAGACCATTCTCTGATCATCTGCATTCAGAGATGGTATTCTGCATAGCTTGGTGGTAACGAGTGGTTATTGGAGTTACTGTTGACGTTCTATCATCTGGAACCAGTCTGCCATTCTCCTCTGACCTCTGACACCAACAAGACATTTTCCTCCACACAACTGCCACTCACTGGATATTTTCTCTTTTTCGGACCATTCTCTGTAAACCCTAGAGATGGCTGTGCGGGAAAATCCCAGGAGATCAGCAGTTTCTGAAATACTCAGACCAGCCTGTCTAACACCAACATCCATGCCACATTCAAAGTCACTTAAATCCCCTTTCTTCCCCATTCTGATGCTCTGTTTGAACGTCAGCAAGCAGTCTTCACCATGTCTAGATATCTAAATGCATTGAGTTGCTGCCGTGTGATTGGCTGATTAGTAATTTGTGTTATCGAGCCATTGAACAGGTGGACCCAATAAAGAGGCCAGCGAGTGTGTATGTATTCATGTGTGTATTCAGTTTTTTGGTTGGAGCTTTACAGGTTCTCACCATTGGACAAATTTCAAGAGGCTCTTCCTGCGTTCTGCCAGCTTTTTCCTGTAAAAAGTTAAATTAAAAAAAAATGTAAAACAACAATAACAAAACTGATCCTCAGAAAACCAAACACAGATGTCTACTTACTAATTATAATGATTTTATGGGTAGTGGTGACGCAGCTGGAACTCCATATTTGAAGGGCTTACAGGGGTGAAGGGGAGAACTTCTCTAACCCCGGGTTTACACCTATGGGACCGTGCGGGCTGCGGTTTGCTCGGGCACGAGAGCCCACTCATTTGTATGGACTCCCGTGCCCCGTGACATGCAGAGAAGAAGTCCCGGCACTTCTTGGAAAACGCAGCCGAGGTTCCCAGTACAGTTGCATTTCCCAGTGCTGGTGGCGTGCCATTAGAACTAATGGCGCCCGCCCGCGGGTCCGCAATTCTCTGTGCGGGTGGTGCGACTGCACGGGTTTTCGTGTGGATCCGCAGCGGCATATGTGTGAACCGAGGGTAATAATGAATTACATGTCATTGGTATCTTCTTCTCTTGTTTTAGCCATTGTCCAGTCTAAAGGGATTATTGATTATCACGATATCAGCTTCTGATGCTTCAAAGGCTTTGAAAACTGTAAAATCTATCGCAAGTAATCACTGAAAATCTACCCCCCGTGAGCCCGACCAAACACCAGAATTCAGCCGCTTGTGCAGTCAAATGAACGGACAGCTTCAACGCGGCTTATTAAAGGGGAAGTAAGGCTCAGTTCACACTAGCTTTGGAAGCAGGCATTTTGCAGATATTTGAGGGGTGTTCTTAACGCCTACACGCCGGCACCTCCCGGCCTTTTAAGAGTTTCAGAAGCCGGGAGGCGGGGTTTAGGGTCATGTGACCGCCGTGATGCGCTGTCACATGATCGGGAAAGGTCCCGATCGAAAGAGGAGATTGGGACCTTTCCGTGAGTACCAGACGTGTGCTGGGAGCGGGCAGGGTGCGCGCTCAGCACATGTGTCCTTTTTTAACCACTTGAGCCCCAGAGGATTTACCCCCCTTAATGACCAGGTTTTTTGCTGTTTGGCGTTGCACTAATTCAAATGATAATTGCGCGGTCATGCAATGCTGTACCCAAACAAAATTTACGTCCTTTTCTTCACACAAATAGAGCTTTCTTTTGGTGGTATTTGATCACCTGTGCGCTTTTTATTTTCTGCGCTATAAACAAAAAAAAACACGAAAATTTTGAAAAAAAAAAAACAATTTTTTACTTTCAGCTATAAAAAATATATCGTAAACTCAAAGTTAGTCATAAATTTCAGCCAAAATGTATTCTGCTACATGTTTTTGGTAAAAAAAATCCCAATAAGTGTATATTGATTGCTTTGTGTGAACGTTATAGCGTCTACAAACTATGGTATAGATAATTTGAAATTTACACAGCTTTTACTTTCTGACCGCCCATCACATCTCTTGAGGTGCTAAAATACCAGGATAGAACAAACACCCCCAAATGACCCCTTTTGGAAAGCAGACACCCTAAGCTATCTGCTGAGAGACATATTGTGTTCCATGGAAGATTTATTTTTTTTCCACAAGTTTCTGGAAAATGACAAAAACTTTTTTTTTTTTTTTTTTTTTTTTACACAAAATTGTCATTTAAATGATTTATTTCTTGCACAAGCCATGGGTATATGTGGAATTATACCCCAAAAATACATTCTGCTACTTCTACCGAGTATGAGGATACCACACGTGTGACACTTTTTGGGAGCCTAGCCACATACAGGAGCCTGAAATCCAATGAGCACTTTGAAAGCCTGAAGGTGCGTAACTTCTTCATTTCACTTCCCCACTACCTATCACAGTTTTGGAGGCCCTGACATGCCAGGATAGCACCAAACCCCCCCAAATGACCCCTTTTTGGAAAGTAGACACTCCAAGGAATTTAAAAAGAGGCATGGTAAGTATTTTGCAGATCTAATTTTTTCTCACAAGGTTTTGAAATATAAAAAAAGAAAAGAAAAAATATATTTTTTATTTTCTTTCTTCATTTTCCAAAAACTTGTGGTAAAAATAAATTCTTCTATTGATTCAACATGCCTCTCAGCAAATAGTTTGGGGTGTCTACTTTCCAAAAAGGGGTCATTTTGAGGGGTGGGGGCATTTTATGCCCAGCATTAGAGGTTTATGCCACACATCACTCACTCTTCTAACCACCTGAAGACCAAGCCTTTTCTGACACTTTTTGTTCACATTAAAAAAATCTGTATTTTTGCTAGGAAATTAAAGTGAACCCCCAAACATTATATATTTTTTAGAGCAGACACCCTAGTAAATAAAATGGTGGGTGGTGCAATTTTTTATCTCACATATTACTTACACAGCGATTTTTCAAACGCAATTTTTTTTTTAAAAATATACACTTTTTTTTTAATTTTAATGCACAAAAACACAATATATTGGGCCAATTATTTGGTATGATATAAAAGATGATGCTATGCTGAGTAAATAGATACCAAACATGACATGCTTTAAAATTACGCATGCCCTGTGCAATGGCGACAAACTGCATACACATTTTTAATATCTATAGGCAACGCTTTAAAAGCCTTTACAAGCTACCATTTTAGATTTACAGAGGAGGTCTAGAGCTATAATTACTGCCCTTGATCTGACGTTCGTGGCGATACCTCACATGCATGGTGCAATCGCTGTTTCCATACTGGGAAAGGGTCAACGCTCACGACCGCAGGTGTGCGCGTGCGCGGATGGGCGAGGGTCCTTTTTTTTTTTTTTTTTTTTTTTTTTTTTTTTTTATTTTTATTTAATTATTTTTACACTGTCCCTTTAATTTATTTTTTTTTTAATCACTTTTAATGCTATCTCAGGGAGGGGGAGGGGGGGGGCCATTTTCTCCCGCTGCTTGTAAAGGCAATTCTGCAGCTAATTAACCACTAGGAATGCTTTTACATGAAAGCCCATTGCCGGCTGAAAAAAATAAAACCAGGATGATGCCTGCAGCTGCAGGCATCACCCTGGTATAACCATTCAAAGTCCAGTGATGTACCAGTACGTCACTGGTCCTTGTTGGGTGTATATGCATGTTCTTTTTTTCTTTATGCAGCCTGTGGGCTGAATGAAAAAAAAGAGAAGAAATCTCTGCCAGAAAAAGTGTGTGGTATGCCCACCATTAGAAACCTCCCTCAATCCACCCACTTCTAATGGTGGGCACATATGAAATGTGCCAACAAATATAAAAATATATATGCCGAAGCATGGGGGCCATCCACCCACTGGCCACCCCAGGCCCCCATGCTTTGGCATATATTCTCTTTTTTTTTAACTGCGGATGAAAAATCTCATCCGACAGCACTGCACACACCTACTTATGTCTATTCTGAAAGCAAGACCCTGTTGCTGTCAGAATAAACAGGTCAGTGCTGCAGTTTGACGTTCCTGCAAAGAAATCAACAATGGTTAACAATAAAACATAAACTGGTTAACAATAAAACAAACTCAATAAAAACAACTTTATAAGGAAAAGTGTGTGGTGGTATGCCCACCATTAGAAACCTCCCTCAATCCACCCACTTCTAATGGTGGGCACACATGAAATGTGCCAACAAATATAAAATATATATGCCGAAGCATAGCATAGGGGCCATCCACCCACTGGCCACCCCAGGCCCCCATGCTTTGGCATATATTCTGTTTTTTATAAACTGCGGATGAAAAATCTCATCCAACAGCGCTGCCCACGCTGACTTATGTCTATTCTGAGAGCAAGTTCCTGTTGCTGTCAGAATAAACAGGTCAGCGCTGCAGCTGAAAGCATTCCTGCAAACAGAAATGGTTAACAATAAAACAACAATAAACCAGTGAAAGTCGAACAATCACAAAAATGACAACAACAAAAAAAAAAAATAACTATTTTTGGTTTTTACATTTTTTTATTTTTTTTTGGGGGGTATTTGTACTTTTATTTTTTTTTTTTTTTTTTTTTTAACTTTTTTTTTTTCCAAACTTCAAACATTTAAACAGCTGGTAGGGTCTCTCCAAATGCGATAGCCAGTTTCCTGACTACCTAACATCTTTTGAGACCCTGTGTAAATGTGCCCTGATCTGTGCCGTGCTGTACCCTATACTAATAGTTCACTAGTGTATGGTAGAGGCGGAAGCAGGGCTTGATGCAGAGGCCAGGTTGGCCAGGACAGGAGGGACAAACAATAGCGGCTGTCACGCCTAATTCCACGTTTGCTGCAGACACGACATCTTTTTTGGGGTCTTCTTTGGGTTGGGGTACCAGGAATGGTATCGGGAAAATGTCTCTCATGCAGACGGCTAACTGCATCTGGGAGAGGGATTTGGGGCGCAGCACCTTCTGGATACAAAAGGGCCCTGATGTTCTCTAACTGGAAATTTAGGTATGATCCACTATGTCCAGTTGCTTTATAGAGAACAAAAGCATTATATAGAGCCAATTGAAATAAATAAACTGACACTTTTATGTACCAGCGTTTGGATTTTCGGGAAACTAAATACGGCTGCATCATCTGGTCATTGAAGTCCACCCCCCCCATGTTAAGGTTATAATCGTGGACACAGAGGGGCTTCTCAACAACACCAGCTGCCGTGGTAATTTGGACGGTCGTATCTGCGTGAATGGAAGACAGGAGGTAAACATCCCGTTTGTCCTTCCACTTCACTGCGAGCAATTCTTCATTTCTCAAGCAGGCTTTTTCCCCCTTTTTAAGACGGGTATTTACAAGCCGTTGGGGGAAGCCTCGGCGATTAGATCGCACAGTGCCACATGTGCAAATTCCCAAATTGAACAAATGTCTAAATAGTGGCACGCTTGAATAAAAATTGTCCACGTATAAGTGGTACCCCATATGGAAATAGGATGACGCCAAGTCCCAAACTATCTTGCCACTGCTCCCCATGTAGTCTGGGCATCCGGGGGGCTCCAAGTAACTATCTTTTCCCTCGTAAATCCGAAACTTACATGTATAGCCTGTTGCCCTCTCACAGGTCTTATACATCTTGATCCCATATCTGGCACGCTTGCTGGGGAGATATTGTTTGATTACAAGGCGGCCAGAATATTGAATGAGGGACTCATCGATGCAGATGTTGTTTTTCTGGGGAGTATACACATCTGCAAATTTTTGGTTAAAGTGATTTACGAGGGGCCGAATTTTGTGGAGCCGGTCAAATTCAGGGTCACCCCGAGGACGACTGAGTGAGTTGTCGTAGAAGTGCATAAAACGCCTTATCGTCTCATATCTATGCCTGGCCATGGCAGCAGAGAACACGGACATGTGAACAAGAGGGTCGGTGGACCAATACAACCGCAATTGATTTTTATCATTAATGCCCATGTTGAGGGTTAGGCCCAAAAAAAACTTTAAATTCGGAAACCGTAATGGGTTTCCATGCGAATGGTCTGGCAAGGTTTGAATTTGGGTTGGCGGCGATAAATTGGCGTGCATATAAATTGCTTTGATCCACAATCAATGCATAAAGATCTTCTGTGAAAAACAGCTCAAAAAAATTAAGGGGAGTATTTAAATTTGCTGTTTCCACCTGAATTCCGGGTTGGGCAGTGAATGGGGGAAGTACGGGTGCTGCAGAATTTGTGGGCTGCAATCGGGATTTGCAAGCACATCCGGAAGGACACTAGGGGCTCTACGGGCCTGTCTGCGAATTCTTGGTGGCCGCGGGACACTACTTGTGCTCGCCACCGCACCAGCTTGTACTGCACTTATGGGACTCGCCACGTCACCAAGTGATACTGCAGTGCTGGTATGCCTACGACCAGGACGTACTAGGCCGCTGGTGCTCGCCAGTTCACCAAAAGATACTGCGGCACTAGTACTGGCACTCTGCTGCATATGAGAGTCATCATGCATTTGTACCACCTCAGCAACCTGTGAATGGGATCGGGTACGCCTGACCTTAGCAGGGACCACTTCCTCGTCGTCTGAGCTAGCTGTCAGGGTGCCGCTGCTGTCTATAGGTTCGTATTCTGAGCCTGGTTCTGCCAGTGAGTCTTCCCCTTCGCTCTCACTTGACATGCTCAGAATCCTATAGGCCTCTTCACTAGTGTACCTTTGCTTAGACATTTTGGCCACTAAATTTACAGGTACCTAGTGCGACTCACGGGAAAAAGAGCGCCTGGCTGTCAGGGACTGCTTGAACCGCTACAAAAAATTTACCGACAAGTGCTAACAGATATCAGGCCTGATTCTGTGAACACTGCGGTTTTGTGTGTAATATGTATCAAGTGACAGTTATCTACTGACACTGCACTTGCCGGGGGAGAAGGGGGGGGGTAGGGGCTAAACGCAGGTGCTGGCAGGTGTTGGGGCTGATCCCGCTAACACTGCGTTTTTGGGGATACTAAAGTAATGTGAATGCTGGTATAGCGCTGATCTGATCAAAGATATTGATCCAATCAGACACTATACTAGCAATGAAGGTTTAGCGTGCAAGTAAGCGTGTTCCTGGCAATCAAGGGGTCAAATGTGATTATTTGTGTACTAGCGGGCAAACTGGTGCTATCTGGGAGGGGCGCTAAAACTATCGGAAGTCACCAGTACCAAGTCACCAGTACCAATACAGTGATCAGTAAAAATCTGTTCAGTAATCAATGACACTGGTGACAGGGCAGTGAAGGGGTTAACTGGGGGGGGGGGCGATCAAGGGGTTAAATGGGATTACTGATGTACTGGCGGGTAAACTGGCGCGGGTAAATTGGAAGTCGCCAGCGACACTGGCGCTATCTGGGAGGGGGGTCGCTAACACTATTGGGGCAAGTCGCCAGCGACACTGATACAGTGATCAGTAAAAATTGGTTCACTGATCAGTGACACTGGTGACAGGGCAGTGAAGGGGTCAACTCAGGGGGGGGGGGGGGGGGATCAAGGGGTTATCAAGGGGTTAGACGGGACTACTGGTGTATTAGTGGGGTGAGAGGGCAATCTGGCGCTATCTGGGAGGGGCGCGCTAACACACTATCGGAAGTCGCCAGCGACACTGATACAGTGATCAGTAAAAATCGCTTCACTGATCAGTGACACTGGTGACAGGGCAGTTAAGGGGTTAACTGGGGGGGTGGGGGGGGGGGAATTAAGGGGTTAAATGGCTTTATTGGTGTACTGGGGGGCAAACTGGCGCTATCTGGGAGGGGCGCTAGCACTATTGGAAGTCGCCGCCAGCGACACTGATACAGTGATCAATAAAAATCGCTTCACTGATCAGTGACACTGGTGACAGGGCAGTGAAGGGTTAACTGGGGGGGGGGCAATCAGGGGGTTAAATGTGTCCTAGACTGTGTTCTAACTGTCAGTGTGCTGTTTTACTCACGTTTAAATGTCTCTTCTTCTCTGTCTGGAACGGAATGTGTCCAGGCAGAGAAGAATGACATCATATCCTGCCCTGTGTAAATATCAACACAGGACAGGATAGGACAGGGACCGATCATCCGATTTCAGCCAGAAATCACTGGCTGAAATCTAATGATTGATCCCTCCTGGATCGAATCGGATCACCCGCGGGTCGGCGGGAGCGCGCGCGCGTGCCCCCTGCCGGCGAAAGTGTCGGGAGCGCGGAACCCGTTTTTAAACGTGGTTTTGCGCTCGCCCTGGGAGGCTACACATTTGCATGCGGCCGGTGTGAAGAGGTTAAAGGTCCTCAAACGCCTATGGAAATGATACTATGGGCAGCACACAAAGCTGTTCACAACACTTGCAGAGTTAGGGCTCGTTCACACTTGACTAATTTCTAACACTTGCCAGATGCCCCTATAGCATTAGACAGGAGTTTGGGAAGCGTTTTTAACGCTCCCCAAATGCCCAAATGTGCGGTTTTGAGGCGTTTTACCGCATTCCAGTACAGTTCTGTGCAGGAAAAATGCAGCCTCTCTACTTTTTTTGTGCAGCCAGAACGCACTGGAACTGCAAACGCTGATGTGAGCTATGACATTGACCACTGTATCACCGACTTTCTGTGCGTTTTGGATGCAGAAAAAAAAAGCAACTGAAACGCATGGAGTGTGAACTGGCCCTTAGAATTTATATATATAAAATAAATAAATATATATATATATATATATATATATATATATACACACACTTCTCTGTATATCAGTGATTCCCAAAATGTAATAAGCAGATGATTGGTCAGCGTTCCCCTGAAAGTCAGTCGCCATCCTTGTTAGCGGTTTACTGCCACCTAGCGACAGCTGATAGGAATTACACGCTGACCAGCTGTTTCTGGGTTTCAGACTGGCTGGGAGATGTCAGGGATTTGTAGTTTTGTGGCTCTTATTCCGGGGCGTCCAAAAACGTGATGCACTGAGGAGCTCCAGAATACCTGCATGCTGCTGAAGAGAGTGTTGATTGAGGTTTCCTCCTCCTCAGCGCTGTTGCGGACTTCTTCGATCATGGCCTTCAGAAGGACAGTCGCCTCTCGGGTTGAAGTCTGCAACTCCTTCACCGTCTGTATTCAACAAACAGATGTACAATCGTTGGCTAATTCCTCCTATCATTCTATAAAATTGTTACAGTGTGTCACTTATTTCCTATGAACTTCAGCTCCATCTAGTGGCCACAGTGCAGTATTTTACACTAGCCAATAATAACAAAAATATCTGTTCAGAAGAGAAATTAGCCTTAAGAACATTTGTTTTTGTTTATTTCACACAGAACAAACATAGGAGCGAATTCGCTGGATGAATGGCTCAGCAAATGTTACATTTTATATTTACTTATAAATACACCCCTTAGCTTTGCAGCTTTCTCTTCCAGACTTGGAACCTGTACAGAACAGGGGTCTCCAGACTGTGGCCCGTGTGCCGGATGCGGCCCTTTGCTTGCCTTTATCCAGTCTTTGGGTCCACTGACACCAATGATGGGGCACTATTCCTCCCACTGACACCAATGATGGGGCACTATTCCTCCCACTGACACCAATGATGGGGCACTATTCCTCCCACTGACACCAATGATGGGGCACTATTCCTTCCACTGACACCAATGATGGGGCACTATTCCTCCCACTGACACCAATGATGGGGCACTATTCCTCCCACTGACACTAATGATGGGGCACTATTCCTCCCACTGACACCAATGATGGGGCACTATTCCTCCCACTGACACCAATGATGGGGCACTATTCCTCCCACTGACACCAATGATGGGACACTATTCCTCCCACCGACACCAATGATGGGGCACTATTCCTCCCACTGACACCAATGATGGGGCACTATTCCTCCCGCTGACACCAATGATGGGGCACTATTCCTCCCACTGACACTAATGATGGGGCACTATTCCTCCCACTGATACCAATGATGGGGCACTAATTATCCCACTGACACCAATGATGGAGCACTATTCCTCCCACTGACACCAATGATGGGGCACTATTCCTCCCACTGATATCAATGATGGGGCACTATTCATCCCACTGACACCAATGATGGAGCACTATTCCTCCCACTGACACCAATGATGGGACACTATTCCTCCCACCGACACCAATGATGGGGCACTATTCCTCCCACTGACACCAATGATGGGGCATTATTCCTTTCACTGACACCAACGATGGGGCACTATTCCTCCCACTGACAGCCATGATTGGGCACTATTCATCCCACTGACACCAATTGGGGCACTACTCATCCCACTGACACCAATGTTGGGGCACTACTCATCCCACTGATATCAATGTTGGGGCACTATTCATCCCACTGACACCAATGTTGGGGCACTATTCATCCCAGTGACACCAATGATGGGGCACTATTCCTCCCACTGACACCAATGATGGGGCACTATTCCTCCCACTGACACCAATGATGGGGCACTATTCCTCCCACTGACACCAATGATGGAGCACTATTCCTCCCACTGACACCAATGATGGAGCACTATTCCTCCCACTGACACCAATGATGGAGCATTATTCCTCCATCTACTGATTGCAGACACTGTGGCATTGTTTAATGGCCAGTCTGCCTCCCCTAAAGTCTGAAGGAGAACAATCTGGCCCTTTGTTTAGAAAGTCTGGACAGCCCTGATACAGAACCCCAGAAGGCGAATGTAAAAGCGCTCCGGCATTGTGATATACCTTCAGTAAAATGACAATATCGACAAACAGCCTTCGTAACACGGCTCGTCACATAGAACCACCCGGAATGAGGCCGGCTCGAACATTTCAGGGTGGAAGATGGTATAGAACAGCTTATCTCACTCAGAGCTCTGTGGAATCCTAGGGGTCCCCTTCACATGTTACCAGGGGCTCCTGGAGCAATGAGCTGTGTTTGCCTGACACCAATGTCCTTGTTAGCTCTATGCAAGGGGAACGATCCTCCCGCTGACCATCAATTATTAATATAATAATACGGGATTTATATGGCGCCCACAGTTTGCGCAGCACTGTACAGTATAAAGCAACTATTACAATACAGTCCAATACAGAAGGAATAGGAGGGCCCGGCTCATGGAGCTTACAATCTAAAGGAAGGGGGAGGAGCTACAAAAGTTAATAACTGGGGGGGGGGGGATGATCTGACGGAGGTGACTCAAGTACGGTTCTTAGGTGGAGGTGGGGTCGGCTTCCCTGAATAAATGAGTGTTCAAGGATCACCTAAAGGTGGGCAGGGTAGGAGCTAACCTAACACACTAGGGTAGGGAGTTCCAGAGGATGGGAGGGGTTCTGGAAAAGAGAGGTGAGCATGGGAGGAGGTGACAAGGGAGCTAGAGAGCAGGATGTCTTGGGAGGAGCGGAGGAGGCGATTTGGGTGGTATCAGGGGCGGACTGACAACTCATGGGGCCCCCGGGCAATAGGGGATCATGGGGCCCCTGTGTCCTTGCCCAAACTCAAAACAACCTATGAAAAAGGTACCAGGGGCATCTCATGGGGCCCCCTACTGACCCCGGGCCCTCGTGCAGTGCCCGAGTTTCCAAATGGTCAGTCCGCCCCTGGGGGGCGATTTGTACTAGGAGAGGGGATTTGGGGGGGAATTTGTGCTGGTAGAGGGGGAGAGAGCACCTGTGAGGTATGTATGTAGATAAGTAAAGCTCCACCTTCCTCTAGGTAAGTCCATGCAGCTCTACAACCACAAGGATACACCATCACTAGAAATGATCCACCAACTAGATGCAGGAAGACATTCAGCAGATGGTCAGTACAGGTGATTATTCTGGAAGAGTCCCATTATCTGGCAAAGACCATGTGACTGTTGCTTTGGTACTAGTGTCATGACCGGGCAATGGAAGGGCTGTCTTAATACAGGGACACCTCTGGGCACTGCCCAGGGGCCCCAGGTGCATGGGGACCCCATGATAATCTTGCAGTACATCAAACTTCGCAACTGTCCCACATTTGCCGGGACAGTCACACTTTTTACTAAGCTGTCCTAGGATGGCCCGGACAGCATCCCAAAACCTGTACTGTGCCCTCCTGATTCCCCCCTGTACTGTGCCCTCCTGATTCCCCCCTGTACTGTCCCCTCCGGACTCCCCCCGTACTGTCCCCTCTGGACTCCCCCTGTACTGTCCCCTCCTGACTCCCCCTGTACTGTGCCCTCCTGACTCCCCCTGTACTGTGCCCTCCTGACTCCCCCTGTACTGTGCCCTCCTGACTCCCCCTGTACTGTGCCCTCCTGACTCCCCCTGTACTGTGCCCTCCTGATCCACCTGTACTGTGCCGTCATGACTGCCCCTGTACTGTGCCCTCCTGATCCCCCTGTATTGTGCCGTCATGACTCCCCTTGTACTGTGCCCTCCTGACTCCCCTTGTACTGTGCCCTCCTGACTCCCCCTGTACTGTGCCCTCCTGATCCCAGTATTGTGCCCTCCTGACTCCCCCTGTACTGTACCCTCCTGATCCCCCCTGTACTGTGCCCTCCTGATCTCCCTGTACTGTGCCCTCATGACTTCCCCTGTACTGTGCCCTCCTGACCCCCCTGTACTGTGCCCTCATGACTTCCCCTGTACTGTGCCCTCCTGATCCCAGTACTCTGCCCTCCTGACTTCCCCTGTACTGTGCCCTGTTGATCCCAGTATTGTGCCCTCCTGACTCCCCCTGTATTGTGCCCTCCTGATTCGCCCCGTATTGTGCCCTCTGACTCCCCCTGTACTGTGCCCCTCCTGATCCCAGTATTGTGCCCTCCTGACTCCCCCTGTATTGTGCCCTCCTGACTCCCCCCGTATTGTGCGCTCCTGACTCCCCCTGTACTGTCCCCTCCTGACTCCCCCTGTACTGTCCCCTCCTGACTCCCCCTGTACTGTCCCCTCCTGACTCCCCCCTGTACTGTGCCCTCCTGACTCCCCCTGTACTGTACCCTCCTGATCCCAGTATGGTGCCCTCCTGATTCCCCCCGTAGTGTGCCCTCCTGATTCCCCCCGTATTGTGCCCTCCTGACTCCCCCCTGTACTGTGCCCTCCTGACTCCCCCTGTACTGTGTCCTCCTGATCCCAGTATGGTGCCCTCCTGATTCCCCCTGTACTGTGCCCTTCTGACTCCCCCCGTATTGTGCCCTCCTGACTCCCCCTGTACTGTGCCCTCCTGACACCCCCCCCCCCCCCCCCCGTACTGTGCCCTTTGTGTTGATTAGTCTTTGATTCATGGCATGTTTTCTTATTGTTTTAAAATCAATTTAAATGAAAGTGCTAATAAATCTATGTTTAATTCTATCAACTATTTATACTTCAATTTTTATGAGTAGGTGTGTAAATTGGGGCAGGCTGGTAGGGCCCCCAGTGCATTACTGTGCCCAGGGGCCCATGATGCTCTTAGGACGGCCCTGCGCATTGGTGTGGAGTTTCGCTTGTTTCATGTATACTGTCCTGATCTGTCCTTTCCATTTCACTACATTTATATAAATATTCTTCCACTTTACATCTACTGATAAGCCCAGCATGGTCCTTTGTACTGCCTTGCCCTGTCATAGGAGCTAACACTTCAAAGTACACTGACCACTATATAGAAGGGAGGGGGGGGGAGGGGTATTTCTAGCATCTGGTTGTTTTCTTGTCCTGGTAATATTGACCAAACCTTCCTACTCACCATAACAGCTTGATCCAGCTTTTCACATCCCAGAACATAAGCCGTTTCAATATCGATGCAATGAGCGCGGCTCTCCCTGCCAAACACAAACACGCCTTCTATTAAACATTATTATTATTATACAGGATTTATGGCGCCAACAGTTTGCTCAGCACTTTACAATATAACGGGAGACAATACAGCAACAATACAGTTCAATACAAGAGGGTTAGGAGGGCCTGATCCTGGGAGCTTACAATCTAAGAGGGAGGGGCTAGTGGTACAAAAGGTAATAACTGTGGGGGATGGAGTGGTTGGAAGAGTAGAAGATTCCATTATTAGCTGAGGGCAGGGTAGGCTTCCCTGAAGAGATCGGTTTTCAGAGATCGCCTAAAAGTCAGCAGAGTAGGCGATAGGCTGATAAATTGGGGTAGAGAGTTCCAGAGGATGGGGGAACCTCTGGAGAAGTCATGGAGACAAGCATAAGAGGAGGAGACAAGGAAGCTAGAGAGCAGGAGGTCGAGCAAGGAGCGGAGAGGTTGGTTTGGGTGATATTTGGAGACAATATTGGTGATGTAATTTGGGGCGGAGTTATAAATGGCTTTATAGTGATAATATTGAATAAGACCTCCCTATCTTGTGTTATAAAAATTATAGATTTCCACACAAGATTTAAAAAGCTCAGTTGAGCGTTTAAATCAGCGAAATACATTGTAGGTGCACCAAACAAAAGGTATAAAGCCATACACTAGTAGATTCTTGAATGCACATTGCTACAAATATTCGTAAGAACACGGATATGAAAATTCGCAGTAAATTTGATGACTTGAAGAATGTCGCTGGAAAGTATTTTAACATTTCATTCACTTTTAACATTCGATTTTGGAATGAATGTCATTTCCTAAACGAACGTCACATACAATGTCAGAAATGCATTCATCCGGCTCCTTTGAATATTCTCATCACTGGGGCCAAAAAAACGATTGTCGATTCGTTCCCCTAACGAGTACAAAAAGAAGAATAAATGGGATTTTAAGCGGTGCTGAAACCTTCGCCCTCAGGAAACACTCAGGACAAATGTATAAAAAAAATATATTTTATTACAAATACATATTAAAATATTTTTGAGGAATATACCCCATAAAAGCAACAGACATATCCAAACACAGCTCAGCAACCCCAAACACCTCCCATCATACACAACAAAGTATATCCAGTCGGGATGAACAGCCTGGATTACAGTACACATCCAATAACCATGAAGGAGGTGCTGACACCCAGACACGTTCCGGTATAAGTGCTTCCTCAGGGGTTCATGGGGGGCAACTGGATATGGAATACAAATACATCCCTAAACAGGGATTTATATCTTATACGCCATTTCAAATCCCATTTATTTTTCTTTTTGTTCTTTTTACAAATCAGTCATGGATGTGGTGCTCTGCTATTAAATTGTACCCATTATTTTGATTTTGACCCCACTATGATTAGATCAGGGGTCTCCAAACAACGGGCCAGTTTACTGTCCTTCAGATTTTAGGTGGGCTGGATTGTGGCCAATGGGGTAGAAAATGTCCCGGGCCCAGCATCAGTGAGAATAAAAGTGATCTCAGGTTGGTGGTCAGTAAGAGGAGGATAACGTCCCCACGATTGATATTAGTGGAAGAATTGTGCCCCATTTTTGGTGCCAGTGGGTGGAATAGTGGCTCATATTTTGGGAGGAATAGTGGCTCATATCACTGCGAGGAATAGTGGCTCATCTCACTGGGAGGAATAGTGGCTCATATCATTGGGAGAATTAGTGGCTCATATCATTGGGAGAATTAGTGGCTCATATCACTAGGAGGAATAGTGGCTCATCTCACTGGGGGGGAATAGTGGCTCATCTCACTGGGGGGAATAGTGGCTCATCTCACTGGGAGGAATAGTGGCTCATCTCACTGGGGGGAATAGTGGCTCATCTCACCGGGGGGAATAGTGGCTCACATCACTGGGAGGAATAGTGGCTCATATCATTGGGAGGGATAGTGGCTCACATCACTGGGAGGGATAGTGGTTCATATCACTGGGAGGAATAGTGGTTCATATCACTGGGAGGATTAGTGGCTCATATCATTGGGAGGGATAGCGGCTCACATCACTGGGAGGGATAGTGGCTCATATCACTGGGAGGAATAGTGGTTCATATCACTGGGAGGAATAGTGGCTCATATCATTGGGAGAATTAGTGGCTCATATCACTGGGAGAATTAGTGGCTCATATCACTGGGAGAATTAGTGGCTCATATCACTGGGAGGAATAGTGGCTCATATCACTTGGAGGAATAGTGGCTCATATCATTGGGAGAATTAGTGGCTCATATCATTGGGAGAATTAGTGGCTCTAATCACTAGGAAGAATAGTGGCTCATATCACTTGGAGGAATAGTGGCTCATCTCACTGGGGGGAATAGTGGCTCATCTCACTGGGGGAAATAGTGGCTCATATCACTGGGAGGAATAGTGGCTCATATCACTGGGAGGATTAGTGGCTCATATCACTGGGAGGATTAGTGGCTCATATCACTGGGAGGATTAGTGGTTCATATCACTGGGAGGATTAGTGGCTCATATCACTAGGAGGATTAGTGCCTCATATCACTGGGAGGATTAGTGGCTCATATCACTGGGAGGAATAGTGGCTCATATCACTGGGAGGATTAGTGGCTCATATCACTGGGAGGATTAGTGGCTCATATCACTGGGAGGATTAGTGGCTCATATCACTGGGAGGGATAATGGCTCATATCACTGGGAGGAATAGTGGCTCATATCACTGGGAGGATTAGTGGCTCATATCACTGGGAGGATTAGTGGCTCATATCACTGGGAGGATTAGTGGCTCATATCACTGGGAGGATTAGTGGCTAATATCATTGGGAGGAATAGTGCCCCATGGCCAGGATAAAGGCTGCCAAAGGGCCACATCCGGCCCTGGAACTGCAGTTTGGAGACCACTAGATTAGACAATCAAACATTCTTAAGCCAAAAAAATCTCTCTAATGAACTTCCAGTAGTGTGTGTCCAGCTTTACAGCTCATTTCCTTCAGAAACGAGCCACATCCTGAGTTAAAAAGCAGCCTATCCCCTGCCAGTAAGGCTGCCATTAGAATTCATGATGCCCTTCCCGACCCCCCCCCCCCCCCCAGATATGTCATGTCATTCTCTTTGTGAAGGTGGAGTTCTCCTTTAAGAACTGGAGGAACAACATGGAAGCCATCACTCACACTTGCATGTCACGGAAACAGTTGATGCACAACATTGACTTCTTCTCCGTAGAGAACATGATATACGGCTCCTCATGTAATGCTGCAAAATATGAGACAGAGATGTATAATAAATTATCTTAATCCAGTAAATTGGAACAGATCACACTGACAGTCTGGAAAAGATACAGATCCCCTCCAGCCAAAATGTTCACTGCAGTTTACCAGGCCTATGTGTCAGCTGCATTAGTTTTCCCTTTTTCCAGGCTTTTTCTTTTCTTTTCACCTGGTGATCTTGCCAGTAACACTCTTCCTGGACTTTGGTGACAACACTCATTCATCATACTGTATCTATGGAGGTGCAGTGATTTCACTCTAGGACCGCAAGTGCGTTATGACTACAGATCCCCTCCTATACTCCTCTTCTCCAAAACACAGGAGGGAGGTGTTCTACAGTATAGAGAAAGTTGGGAACAATGTAACTCTCTGGGCCCCACAAACACTAATCTGTGTTTCCTTATTTCCCTGTTATGCCAGTAACCTCTGAATGGCTCAAAAACAAAACAAAAATGAAGGTTTTGGAGTGGCTGAATCAAAGTCCGGACTTAAATCCGATTGAGATGCTGCGGCATGACCATTCATGATGGACAACCCTCCAATGTGGCTGAATGAAAACAATCCTGCAAAGAAGAGCGGGCCGACATTCCTCCACAGCGATGTGAAAGACTCATCACCAGTTATCGCAAACGCTGGATTGCAGTTATTGCCGCCAAGGGTGGCGCAACCAGTTATTAGGTTTAGGGGGCATTTACTTTTTCACATAGGGCCCATCAGATTCGGGCAGCTTTTTTCCCTAGATAAATGGTATCCTCATTTAAAAACTGTAATTTGAATTTACTCGGGTTACCTTTATGTAATATTAACGTTCATTCGTTGATCTGAATCATTTAAGTGTAACAAATATGCAAAAAATAAAAAATCTGTACTTTCACAGAACTGAACGTGATCTCATTCTGGAAATGCTAGTTGCTTGGCTGTCATGGCTCTCATGCCTTGAAGTCTCTGGTTTTTTTATGTGACTTACCAGACACGGGCTGAGGATTACTGATCTGCCACTAAAGCTGGCCACACGTGGCTGTTTTTTTTTTTTGGCGTTCAGCCAGCGGGCTAGAGTTAAAAAACTGAACCAATTCCCCCAGCCACACATTCTAGGTGGATGGACGAATCCTCCCTGCTACTCTATTGTATTCTGACAGCAGAAGACTCGCCCATTGTCAGAATACAGAGAGTAGTGCTGCAGGTTTTATCCCACAGGGTGGTTGAACAGACATCAGTGGGTAGATCGACTTCTGTTCAACTGCCGTGGCCACGTATGGATCACATTTCAGTCAGTCCCTCTCAGGAGTGGACTGACCATTTGGAAACTCGGGCAGTGCCCGAGGGCCCGGGGTCAGTAGGGGGCCCCATGAGATGCCCCTGGTACCTTTTTCATAGGCTTTTTTGAGTTTGGGCAAGGACACAGGGGCCCCATAATCCCCTATTGCCCGGGGGCCCCATGAGTTGTCAGTCCGCCCCTGGTCCCTCTTGAACCAGCTGAATTTGGATCCATCTATGGCCACCTTACCTCACCTATCCTCCAATCAGGAACAAACCTTATATACAGTGAAAAGGTGATTTTATTCACTACGACACTTACGGCACTTCTTATGGATGTCCTTGGCTCGTTTAGCCAGAGTCACGATCTCATGGCGGGAGAACATTTTGGCTTTGTGTGTCTCCTCTCTGCATTTAACACACAGAGGCTGGTTGCAGGTATTACAGAAGTACATAAGGTCTCCATCCTAGAATGAAAGATGGAAAAGGAAAAAGAATCAGGAGCAGGGGGAACAGTGTGATATGTGGGGGGGTTACTAGAAGTACCTTGTGTCTATGTATATGTCATGATGAGTTTCACAATGTGGCTGATGGTGTTCCTACAAGATGGTGCCCTATGTGATGGCACAGGTCATGTACATACATGAAGTATGGTTACCGCCGTCTCTGTTTGCCATTTTGAGGGGTCTGTCCCTGGAAAAAAAAATGTCCCCTTCGATGTTCCTGGCAGGTTTTTTTTTTTTTCTACTATCCCGCTTCACAGGTGCCAACCCAACAGTCACATGGCACGGGTACCAATCCAATATGGCGCTGCTGGAGCCACTTGCACATGTGTGGGAATCGTCTCAGGTGGCAGACTGGCCTTTTCTGGATTTACAGCTGGACAGGTGCCAATCTAACAGTTGCACTGGGCAGGTGCCCACCCAATATGAATTCAATTAGTTGGTGCCTTCGGAGTGAGACTATTGGGCTGGTACCTGCGCAGTTGTAAAGCCTGAAAAAGAAACCCGAAGAGGCCATCTCACCACTCAAGATGATTCTCACACATCTGGTGGCTCCAGCAGCACCTTATATTGGGGTGGTGCCTCCACAGTGCAAAGGTAAGTTATTGTTTCATCGGTTCAATGGAGATACTTAATGGCCTTTTTTACATGGTTACATACTGACGAATGTAAGTATGTCTGTGGGATCTCCATGGAAGTTGGGAATCACTGTAGCAGACACTGCTACTACACCACTACTACACTGCTACTGCAGTGATCTCCACCAGCTTCCAGGTCCTGTGCCTAGCAACTGCCCCACTGCTTACTGAACACACGAGGTTGCTTGTACGGGCACAATTCACAGAACACTGACTGCAAAGCATTCTCTGCTTAGACTACCCTGCCTCTCCATCTTGTCCAGTCAGAGAAAGTTTTGCATCCATTGAGAAAATGCAAAATGTTCCCTGAATGGCACCAATGCAGAGCAAATGACCTCCTGTGCTTACAATACAGCAGGGCAGCCGCTTGGCATTAGACCCAGAAGCTAGGGGACGTAGGGTGTCCTCAGGTTTCATTTTAAAAATCTGTTAACCGTGATGATGCCCCATTCACATTTGTAAAATTCCAAATCACGTGGCAATCAATGCAAAACACGTGATGTGTGTTTAGTTGTCATTCATTCTAAATGGCAAAATGCGAAAATGGCAATTTTGCCGCGGTTGTCGCTCAACAGAATTGTGATGCTATGCTGGCAAAATGTGCCTTTAAGAATCTTATGAAACTTGTTGCCCAAAAAGGAGCAGGAGGTTCTTTTGGATGGCAAACATGCATAGGGCAGGCCATTGAAGAGAATGGGCTGCCCTATGCAGAAGACACGGAATCAAATACAAAATCACGAGCGGGAGCTTAAGTCCCCGCTACGCAAAGTGTGAATGGAACCCAAGGTAGACCCAGCCACGGCTCCATGTACATCTCTGTGGTGTGAAGTCACCTGTTTCTTGCATTCCAGGTCACAGTTGGCACACTGTATGACTTCTTCAGAGTCAGCGGAACTGTCCACCAGGAACTTCAGTAACCGGTCCACAGGGGGCAATCCGTTATTCCCCTTTACAATGGACTGCTGTCTGCAAGAGAAATAAAAATGTTTACATCAGTTTTGCAGAAATCACTCCTCTCACCTCTAATGGTGAAGCATTGGGTGGTGACACTTTGCTCCCCGGTAACATAAGCTCCTTATGAATTGAATGGATCCATGATATCTTTATTACAATATGAATTCAGATGATGGATGGAGCTAACATGTTTCAGGGGCCTCGAGATCACCCTTTTCATCACTATGAATACACAACATTGATATATATAAAGTTTTAGAGGGTGGAAAACACTAACAGGTAAAGATAGAGATCTATCATGTAACCAGCTGTGTGCCCAAAGACACCACAATAACTATACGAAATACAATGGGGGTACAGCACAGAGGACATCATATGCTACTATTAAAGAAAAATCAAGCAACTTCATTACATTACACTTGTGGCTGAGGGGCAGTAAAAATGTGCGCTTGAACCCCGATTAAACTGCACCCTCTTAAAGCCTATCTCCGGGCACATAAAATGTTTTTCCTATGCAGTGGGTAGGGTTGCCACCTTATCCTTTTAAAAACGAAAACAAATTAATTACACAGGTTCTGTGGCTGATTAAGGTGGTAATTAAACTCACTTAGTGCCTTTTCTGAAGTAAATTAGCCTCAAAGCTGTGTAATTAATATGTGTTCGGGTTTAATGGGATGAGGTGGCAAACCTAGCAGTGGGGCTGTGCCTGCACTGCACGGATCCGCTGCTTGTTTTGGCTGGTGTGAGCAGAAACCTCATACTTACCCGAATCTTCATTCTACTGGAAAACAATGCTTCCCCATGGGCCAGCAGTGGACTGTTCCTGGTCTCTGGAGCCTGCTCTGGACGTGAGGAAGTCAGGAAGAGACCTCTATTAAAGACCATTGGAGCGCAGGGGTGCCAGACCTGTCTTGTGCTGGGAGGATCAAGTAAGTATATACCCCTTCTCCTCTCCCTTAGAAAATAACCAAGCAATTAACCAGTGCAGGGCGGGCCCCACTGCATGGGAAAAAAACGTGTTTGCCCAGATTTGGGCTTTAAGCTCCATCTCAAGCTGTCCAACTGCATCAAAGTGCTCCCTATTTGATAGATAGATGCAAGGTTCAACTGGTATGGAAGGAAGGAAGGATAGATGTAGGGTTCAATTGGTATGAATGGAAGGAAGGAAGGAAGGAAGGATAGATGTTCAACTGGTATGAATGGAAGGATGGAACGATAGATATAGGGTTCAACTGGTATGATTGGAAGGAAAGAAAGACAGATGTAGGGTTCAACTGGAAAAGGAAAGGAAAAGGGAATGGAAAGGAAAGGAAGAGAAAAAAGAAAGTGAAAAAAAAGAAGGAAGGAAGGATATATGTAAGGTTCAATTAGTATGAATGGAAGGAAGGATATATGTAAGGTTCACCTGGTATGAATGGAAGGAAGGATAGATGTAGGGTTCAACTGGAAAAAGAAAAGGAAAGGAAAAGGGAATGGAAAAGAAAGGGAAAGGTAAAGGGAAAGAGAAAGGAAGAGAAAAAAAGAAAGTGAAAAAAAAGGAAGGAAGGATATATGTAGGGTTCAACTGGTATGAATGGAAGGAGGAAAGGAAGGCAGGATAGATGTAGGGTTCAACTGGAAAAGGAAAAGGAAAGGAAAAGGGAATGGAAAAGGGAAAGGAAAAGAAAGGGAAAGGAAAAGGGAAAGGGAAAGGAAAGGAAAGAAAAAAAGAAAGTGAAAAAAAAGGAAGGAAGGATAGATGTAGGGTTCAACTGGTATGGAAGGAAGGAAGGACAAAAAAATGTAAGGCAAAAAGGATAGATAGATAGATAGATAAATAGATAGATAGATAGATAGATAGATAGATAATAGATAGATAGATAGATAATAGATAGATAGATAGATAGATAGATAATAGATAGATAGATAGATAGATAGATAGATAGATAGATAGATAGATAGATAGATAGATAGATAGATAGATAATAGATAGATAATAGATAGATAGATAGATATAGTAGATAGATAGATAGATAGATAATAGATAGATAGATAGATAATAGATAGATAGATAGATAGATAGATAGATAGATAATAGATAGATAGATAGATAGATAGATAGATAGATAGATAGATAGATAGATAGATAGATAGATAGATAGATAGATAGATAGATAGATAGATAGATAGATAGATAGATAGATAGATAGATAGATAATAGATAGATAGATAGATAGATAGATAGATAGATAGATAGATAGATAGATAGATAGATAGATAGATAATAGATAGATAGATAGATAGATAGATAGATAGATAGATAGATAGATAGATAGATAGATAGATAGATAATAGATAGATGATATAGATAGATAGATAGATAGATAGATAGATAGATAGATAGATAGATAGATAATAGATAGATAGATAGATAGATAGATAGATAGATAGATAGATAGATAGATAGATAGATAGATAGATAGATAGATAGATAGATAGATAGATAATAGATAGATAGATAGATAGATAATAGATAGATAGATAGATAGATAGATAGATTATAGATAGATAGATAGATAGATAGATAGATAGATAGATAGATCGATATATAGATAGATAGATAGATAGATAATAGATAGATAGATAATAGATAGATAGATAATAGATAGATAGATAGATAGATAGATAGATAGATAGATAGATAGATAGATAGATAGATAGATATAGATAGATAATAGATAGATAGATATAGATAATAGATAGATAGATAGATAGATAGATAGATAGATAGATAGATAGATAGATTATAGATAGATAGATTATAGATAGATAGATAGATAGATAGATAGATAGATAGATAATAGATAGATAGATAGATAGATAAATAGATAATAGATAGATAATAGATAGATAGATAGATAGATAGATAGATAGATAGATAGATAGATAGATAGATAATAGATAGATAGATAATAGATAGATAATAGATAGATAGATAATAGATAGATAGATGATAGATAGATAATAGATAGATAGATAATAGATAGATAATAGATAGATAGATGATAGATAGATAGATAGATAGATAAGAGATAGATAGATAGATAGATAGATAATAGATAGATAATAGATAGATAGATGATAGATAGATAGATAGATAGATAGATAGATAGATAGATAGATAGATAATAGATAGATAGATAGATAGATAGATAGATAGATAGATAGATAATAGATAATAGATAGATAGATAGATAGATAGATAGATAGATAGATAGATAATAGATAGATAGATAGATAGATAATAGATAGATAGATAGATAGATAATAGATAGATAGATAGATAGATAGATAGATAGATAGATAGATAGATAGATAGATAGATAGATAGATAGATGTAAGGCTCAACTGGTATAAATGGATAGATTGATGGATGATGGAAAGAAGGAAGGACAGACAGAAATGAAATGTTTCAAATGTTGTAGTTGACAGAAACAATAATGGGTAATAGCTACGAATATTATCAATATAATCAATACAATAAAATCAATGTAATCTATCAATACAAATACTAGAACTTCTGGTGACAATAATAATAGAACACACTATAGGAAAATGAAGGTGCATAATAATATGAAATCTGGAGAAAAGGAAGGAAATACATTTGAAGTAACCACCATAAAGTGCTCATAGTGACTGATTTTTGTTAGCTTGCAACATTTTGCACCCATAAATGATATTAGACTGACAGACATAGGGATGAATATATGAAAGATATAAATGAAAGATCTGGATTTTTGTGTCTTTGCTGACAGCACACATCTTACGTGTCATCTGCTTCACCATTAAGCATCCTGAAATAATAAGACGCCTTGGAGAAAGGTGACGTGAGGTCGGGGCGCGGGTGAACAGGAGAGGATATAAAACGCAAGAAGTGTTCGAAAAAAGGTGGGCTTCAGCGCAATGTTGGGTCCTCGTCATCTTCTTGTTGCTCGGCACAACCAGCATTATGTGGCTAATAAAAGCCTGCATGTAAGCTTTACCTCTCAGAGGTTGTTTCACAGAGTCAGGTCAGCCATCTGCCCGCTGCCTGGCTAGTAATCTAATAGGTTTTGTGAAGCCTTTAATCCACCCCGGCCTTAAAAAGAACACTAGGAGGGTCTTCCATCCTGGCCATGTTGAACTTCTATAGAAAAGACAAGTCAGTATGTCACGATTTTGGATCTTGGCTCCAGAAATGTTTACTTGATTAAAAGGACTTTTTTTTAAATTTTATTTTAAAACCCATAAGTGAACAAAAAAACGTGCAAGTGCAAAACACCAACACAACAAAAAAGTGCACTTAGGGGTGTGCTGTAGTCCACCCCCGAAGGGGTAGGACCTCTACCCTGATCCCCCGGAAGCGAGGCTCCTGAGGTTTCCACATGGTCCACCTAGCCAAAAAGGCCTAGCAGACTCCTTTCCTTGTGGCTAGCCGAAGCCAACCACCAAGTTCCCGAAGAGAGACCCCCCCCCTTCCCAGGAACAGTAGAGGAAGGAACCAAAAGGCCACACATCCTCCAATGATCCAATTGCAAAGGACCTAATTTGCATACCTTTCCTCACCCCTCAAGAAGTGTGGGATTATTCAAAAATATGCAAATCTGTCTGACACATTTCCCACCCAGAAAACCCCTACTTTTTCCCAGATGCCCACTCGGTTTGTTGGATTAGACACACACTGATCCAATAGATCACCCCCTCCCAGCTTCCATGAATAATGATGATTTTGAACCATACTACTAAAACTTAGGGAAAGAATTGTATCTAATTAGCATATTTGCTCTCTCTCCTTCTGCTGATGGGGGGACCTGATATAATTGAGAGACTCTGATGTCATGTTATTAAGGCTACGTTCACACTAGCCTTGTGTGCAGGCGGCAGAGAGGCGTTTGGGAAGCGTTTTTACAGCTTCCCAAACGCCTCTGCCAATTCTGCACATTACAGCACATGGTGCTGTTCTAACGGGAGCGTTTGCGTCGCGTCGCGGCAAA